GGTTTCAGGGCGCAGCCATCTTTGACCTCGTGCAAGAGCTTTTTTTTTTAGACAGTGAGACACATATTTCTATATAAAATAAACACTATTTTAGAGAACTGTGCAAAATTCACTAGAGAAAAAATAATAATTGATTTACATATGATATCTTATTAAAGTCATGTTGTATCTGCTAAAACACGTTTTAAACTTAATTGACTGATTAACAGTTTCGAGTGTGCCCAAGTGATCGTTCAATACCGTAAATTGAGTATATAATTGCAGTTTTCTAATAGTTCATGTTAACAAAACAATATATTATTTTGAATTGTTATATTTAATAATAAACAGCTCAAAAAGGATTATTGTTCACTGAAAATCTAAAGGGAACGCGAAACGTTTAGTCACGTGACATTTGGGCGTAATGGCGACCTTCGAACTGTGAGTTCATTGTGGTAGACACCGGGGAGAAAAAAATCTCTCGTAATTTTACATGAATCTTTTTTCCCCCGAGTTCTGTTTACGGATCATATAGTACACCAACGTATGGGTAGTAAGTAGACAACTGAAAGCGTCAACCACTTCACGTCGTTAGAGTATTTTCGCTGGTTTCCGCTGCGACCGGTAGCTACTTTCGAGATCCAACTTCGTTGTGTTGGCTTCTCACTACCAACTTGTTTATGTAGGCAACTCCCCGGCACGGCTCACATGTTTATTTCTCGCGACGGGGAACTTTGGCCGATAATATAGAGCACGTGATGGACCTAGACTAGCTTTGGGAATATATTTTCCACGTCTTACTTGCATATTGGTAGTGGTTTCAGGAAAGATTTTCTTTAGATAGGAAGTTGTTTATTTGCGTTTATGTGGCAGCCCATCGTTCAAAATGACAACTCGCTGCTGAAAATTGCAACCCAACGACCGACGTTATATGTCTGCGATTCCGCTGTTGGACGGACCACACTTATGAAGTCTGTTAAACGTGTCCTTCTACTGTCGTCGAACGATGGATGGTGAAGTGAAATCATCAGCTCCGATGTAAGTGAACGTTTCATAATGTTTTTTTATCCTCCGATCGAATACAGCCGATTGAAATTCCGTCCGGTTTGTGTGGTAAACGGCAGTTGTCCGAACACATGTGAACCGAGACCACCATGTGTTGCCAGTGTTTTTCATCATCCATGGCATTGGCATACCTGCATGATTACATGTTATAATTATTCACATATTATCATTATATACAACTACTAGTATCACTTCTACTATAGACAGTCACTGAAAGAACCAGGGGTCTATGCTTCCACTCATCTATTTTTTGTTCTGTTTATTTTGAAATACAAGATTTAAAAATTAGACCGTATATCTGTTATATTTATGTGGCCGTATTTGTTTACAAGCCTGACCATACTTTATTATTTCTCAGGTAGATTTTTCATGTACCTCATTGTGTTGGTTATTGTGCATGTACACAAAGCAGCGTCCATTGTTAAACATTTCGACAGTGATACAGCCCAACATAGCCTTGAGATAGGGAATGGGTGTGTCAACCCACCCTACCTCTTGTATAAAAAAAACTACAAATAAAGTAAATATCGTTTCTGTCACAGTTAGTACCTTGAAATCATAATTTATATCATCCTGTATTACATGTGTAAATAGACGCCATCCAAAGCAATGATACCCTAAGGTCATTCAATCCATCTCCATTTTATTTCCCTATTATAAACTTGTCTTCAATTTTGTCAAACACATTTTCTCCGCATGAAACCGTAATTAAACCAATATTTATAAGTGGAAAAGTAATAACTGTTGGGTGCTGGTAGTATAATATCTTTGTCTGAGGTTAGCTAAGTTCAAGGATGTTGATGCAAAGAAGTTCAGTGCTGAAAATCTGACCATCAAATAATAAAATATAGCTTCAACATTTTAAATAAATTCAACCTAATTAAATTTTTCCAAGATAACCTAACCTTCAATTGAAAAAAAAAATCATTCTATCGATGAATTTTATAATATGTTGTATTTTAATCTCCATTGGGATTTAAAATAATCCTGAGGCGGTTTCCAACTTCTTTGCGGTAACTATTAAAACTTTAAGCATTATTTTTGTAACCAGACTCTGCATGACCTCACCGACCTACTACTCCGTACTTCTCTCTGTATGTTGCATCAGTTTAGAAGCATATGGTGGTAAAGTTTTGCAGTGTTTAAGAATGTGTGTATATGTTTGTATTACTGAAATCCCACAGGTGGTTGAATATAGTCACATCCTTGTTTAGTGTCCTGCATGCCACCACTATTCCACATAACTTTTCATGCTGCATAACCACAAAATTTACATGCTTGAATTAAACCAAACAGTATCCCGCTGTACCAAGATCCCTTTGTGTATTTAGCCAGTGGGTCAATGCAATAACAGATCGCAGGTCAGATCAGTAAATAATATCCTATTCTCTGAGGTCAAACAGAATGCAAAATAATTGTATTCCACTCTATCCATTTTCTTGTAACGCGCATTTGTCAATTGAGCTCCATAAAAATAATCTGGGTGATAACTCGTTCACTACAGATTGTAAATGTCTAATTGATTGAACAGTATGTAACCGCAGGGAGAATGCAAATGATCATATTCCATGAACTGCCTACATGTATTTGGTTGTTGAATACTGATACACCATAAAACAGAAGTAGGCATTGCTAGCATGCATGTACTGTAAAATGACTAATTTTCACTGGGTTTAAATTTCACTGATTTAGCATTTCAGGCATATTCAGTGGGTTTTAAATTCATGGTTTTATTATTTAGATAATGTATATACTAAATTTTACATATTACCGGTTTTAATTTAGCGCATTTTCCAGTAAGCGAAATAAGCAAAATTAAAACCCAGTGAATACCTTTTTTACAGTACCATAATGCCAACATGTGTCGACAATATCATCTCATCGTGAATGACGCGAGATCTATGCCAAACTCAAATTCAACTTGAAAACAGCTGTTGTGATTGAAATGAAAAGCAGGTTCTCTTCAGTTTGAATAATAAATGTAGTTTTCAAGTCAATTCACTTTATAGCATTCACTTTTCTAATATTAAATGTACTTTTCTACTTAGCCAATTTATAATCGTGCCATATAAGCTTTATCTGTCAATGTGTAGAGTGCTTAGTGTTTGGACGATATGATGTAGTAAAAGAATTATTATGCACTCAAAAAAATAATACAATACCCGGTAGGATCATTTCTATGACTCAATATAAAAGTAGACATTTGAAAGGAGCATAAAAAGTAATCGATTATGTTGCCTAATTGACATCTGGGAAAAAAAACAATTAAATATTAGGTCCACCATGAATTCTGTAAGCATAATGGCATTATCCTTTGAACATTAAACAAGTCTTTAAAAAAAAATTGTGTCAATGTCTAGAAGCGTTATATGAATTTGGTGGGAAGTGGTTAAAAGGACAGGGGGAGCAATAGATTTACATCTTAGAATATAGATTTAATTACAGCTTGGTATATAATAAGTTCTGTATAATCTACAAAAATAAGGTTTCATATTTAGGTATAGAATAATGGAATTACTTTTAGTTGTCAGCATCGTTAATACTTGGCATGTTTCTTATATCCACCTTACATTACTATTATGTGTCGTGTTACTACTAGTATATGATTTGATGTCTCTTGTTCACATTTCAATATTCATGCTGTGGCATCTTATTCTGGATATTGTTATGTGTTACCCAATTATGTTTGAGGATAGTTTTCAGAAGGTTCTTGGAAGATTAATCTGTATTCAGTATTTGTATGTGATAATTATAAAGTATGATTGATCTATTTCACTGAAATTGTTACACAGAGTCATGTTTGAGATGTGCCTCATACATTGTATACAATGCTGTAAAATATTGGTGTAAATTTGCTGATGTGAAATTTGAATGTAATGCGACTTTAAAACCACAATGGTCGTCACAAACACCTGTTTGAATTTTGTGTAAACAAACAATGTATTTTACATGCGTTGTCTAGTTTCCTATGGTCTCATATCAAACAAGCTGCGATGTGACGACCACCGCCTAATATTTACTATTCCTGTAAATAATGAATACTGGAAAAGCTTTCCCCTTCAAGCTCATGTAGTTGAGTGATTAAATCAAAGATATTCAGTGACTGAATTAAAATTGATTATACTTGACAAGACAGTGTTCCGGAACATAATCATAGCATTGAGGCGAGCGACTGTGACTTTAAGAAGCCAACCTATGATTTTATTGGATGATTCTATTTTCCTTCTCAAAGAATTCAACTTTGTGCTGTGTTCATTGTAGATTCTATAGAAAGTGGACAAAACTTGAGATACACCTACATTGTATAGTATTCATTGTCTTCAGATGAGGGAAGAATTTCAAGGACAGCTTAGTATCTCTCCTGTTTGTGTGACTTCCTGTCTTACATTGATATCTGATAGCATAGGTTAGTATCTTGAAAGATATTTTGAGTATTTTTCAGGCGTGAAGATTCACCTTATAAATCGTGTTTTTGATAACAACGAGAGCATTTTGCGTGGGCTCAACATCAATTTCGCCATTCTACCCTCTTGATTTCATTGTGATTGTCAACTTCGTGTCACTTATTCCCACACCACCTATGTTTACATTGTGTTGAGTCCCTTCACTGTTGGCATATAGTATGTGTT